ACGCAACGTAAGTTAGTGTACCTGTAGAAGATTGATTAGGTAAAACCAGTGCCACTATCCTAGATAGACCATATTATTAGGGCTTATACTTATTTACGTAATTTATCGTATCCTACTTTTCGCAAAGCTTTTGTTGGTCAAATTTTAGGTTTTGAAAAGAGTTTTTTAAACTCGTAGACTCATTATTGGCTCTGATACCACCTATGACAGAACCGTATGAAATAACACGCTTTCAGAGGTGCTCGTCTTCCACTAGACACCAAGAACCTCGAAAGTGAGCTACATCGGATAGTTCCGTCGAGCACACCCCAAGAGAGAACTCGAAACAATCCACGTTTTATATCCAAAATCCAATAATGAGTATGAGCTTACAATTCTTAGTCCATTTCATACAATAAGGATTCTTAGAAATTTTTTATTACAATACCAGAGTTTAGAGTGCGATAATTAAACAACGGAAAGAAAATAAACATTTAGCGGAAACGATATAAGGATCAGTCTATGCCCACCAGAAGAATCCTCCACACAAGAGCTACTCCTCAAGCTACACCTACAATATGGGTAAAATAAACCCTGAGTACACAATATACTCGCAAGACTTACCCGACTAGTGAGAATAGTTTCTTGACTCTCAAGGATATGATAGGCAATATGGATTTGTTGTTTTCTTTTTGTTTGCGGAAAGCATTACTAAGAGTTCATCCTTACAGTCAAGTTTTATTAGCAGTCATGATTACTTTATTAGCTAACCATTCTAGGTAAGCACTTGTTCTACTTTCAAGTAAGGGTTAAGCTATCAGAACCATTTCACCATTTTTCATCTTCCTGTTCTTACTACGGTGCTAGACCATAGCCAAGTCGTACCGTCTCACAGAAGCGGCAATTCGTGAACCAATCTATCCCAGCTGGGTAACCCGAAACATATACCCCGTTTGTACCCCAGGCACAAACAAGACTAACCCATTCCACTCCTGTCCCGAGGTCCAGGTCCCGTCCAAACTTGGACTCTAGGCCCCCACACTTGAGACCCGGTCTCAATATGGTGCTTAGACCTCCACCTTTCCCCGCCTTCAATCAGTCGGTTCGAAAAGAGCCAGAACCCACGACAAGAGCGTAACGAGCCTTCCCGCTCTCATAAGCAAGTATGTACTCAGGATAATAAGTCTGTGACCTGACTACCATCCACAGTAACGGATGGTCCTTAATCGACACGAACAGGGAAAACATTGTAGTCAAGCTAAGCTCCGTTGGCCGCGGGACACAACCTGTTACACCCACCAATATCCACACCATATCCCTGCCTAGTCTCCATTTTTCCTTTTATCAATTTATTATGAGAGTAATAATAATCCCCTATTGTGAGCAACGGTAGGTTACTCATGCTATCGATGACTTAAGCATAGCATCTACTCAAGCCTGCACCAGTACGACTCTTAGGACAGGTATATCTATTCATGTGGTTTCTATAAAATTTCTATAACATAAATGCATAGCACATATATATACGGTGAATTATAAAATAGAGGTTATGCACCGGAGCTTGTCTTGGGCATGCGTGGTGTCAGCTGAGTTAGTTAGTGGTGACTCCGGGACCTTCTCCTGCACGAGAATCTCCTCCTCGTACTCCTCGACAATCTCCTCAAACTCATGATCGTCGTTGGTCATGATCTCCATCAACTCGTTCTCTACATGCATGCGATGATGATGCAACACTTAGCATTTAAGCAACAATAACTCTTAAACTAAGAATACGTATACTAAGCTACTAATCTAGCTCTAATGACTAAGATACTAAGCTAACTACCATTTTCATCAAGCAAGGTGTTGGATTCAACTAACAAACATTTAGCATAACAAACCAAGGATATATCTTTATTTCTACTAATGATTTAATACATATTGAAAGGGAGAGCATCCAACTACCCTAATGCTTAGTCTATTCTAAAGCTACAAAAATTACAGTGAGCACATAATAATACAATGAAGCTACTATAAAAATTTTAGGGCTAAAGCCATCACTAATTTACCACAAAAATCCTACAATAATTAATTTAATATTATTAAGCATTCTCAAATGATTTAGTAGCTCATAATGTTAACACATATAAACATGAACTAAATACACCAACAGATAGAGTATAATTTTAGAAACCTAACAAAAATTGTTTCATAATTTTTGGACGCCTATACATGATTTTATATTAATTACCAAAGATTAGCTCAGAATTTAAATTAGAAAACCATTTACTAATTTCTTATGAAAAAGAAAACTGAATCTTCTGCGCAGCCCACACGCGTGGCCCGTCTGATGCAGCGCGCGTGCAGCGGCCGACTGGCACGGCCCACGCGAGGCCGGCCCACTCGCGAGGCTTCCCGCGACGGGGGAGTCCCAGCGCGCTGGCTCTTTTTGTAAAAGAGGCATCGCACTTCTCTCAAATCATAACTAAGTGCTAACACTATTTTCCCCTCACAGGCCTTCTCACTTAACCCCCCGATCTTTCCCTAATTCACCCGCGCACACCCCAGCGACTCAGCGCATGGCGGCGCGACGGGCGGTGACACGGTGCGACCGTGCCGGCCACCAGAGGCTCGCGCTGCCCCGTCGATCGGGCCAACCTTGGACTACGGTCCAACCGCCTACACCAAGCAGCAACGCGGGGCGACGTGATTTGTTGGAGCAAGCTGCAGCGACGCGCGGCCATCCACGACGGTGGTGCGCTTGCTCCGGTGAACCAGGGCACCTAAGGATCTAACCGGCTAGCGAGTGAGCATCAGTAGATTGCGCACGCGGGGAGGCAAGTGGGGCGCAGCCGCAGCGCCATTAAGGCGAGGCGACGGTGTGAGCGCAGTCGGGACAGCCCATGTGCACGTGGTGGCAGAGTGAGCGGCAGCAGCGTAGCACGGCATCACGGTGGCGTCGGTAGCAGCAACGCGAGGTAGGGCAGCGGTGCGCGGACGCGACGACGAGGTGATGGCACCGGCGAAGTAACCGTCCGGTGGTGAGGTGAGGCGGCAACAAGCGGTGGCTCACATGGCGGGCCAAAGAATGGCCGAGCCAGCAGCGCAGTGAGCGAGAGACAGCCATGGTCGGCCACGCGCGGCAGCGCGCGCACGCACGACCAGCGCAGTGACGCCGAGCGCCCGAGCATGGTGACCGCATCCACCCGACGAGCAAGCCCGAGAACATGCCGTGCACATATTTTAAAGCATCTATAACAACTAAACGATTGCTTCTAGATCTATACCATCTTCACCATGCTCAAGATGGCATATGGGGCTACCAACCCAAGCTAAAACACAACACCACCTCCTAACTCTGATTTCACAAAATAAATCACCAAACATTGCAATGTCTTGCTATTTATAAACTAGAAAATATTCTAAGTCTTTGAGCTGAACTTGATTCTAAGTGGTATTTCTAGGCTATTAGAAATTTTGGCTAGCACTGTTATTTTTTCACGTCAAGTGTTTCATTGTCATCTACGAAGTTCATATTCCAAACTTTATTTAAGTGCCACATATATGTTCTATAGTATTTTTGTTCAATAAAAATTAGTTTTAAACCCCACTCGATACATATGAGTTATAGAATAGCTTATCATTTAACATTTTTATTGATCATCTGAAGTTATAAAAATATTATCTACACATTCCATCATATGTATTATCACATAAACATGATGCTCATAATATAGTTTAGTAATTTGTTTAGGGCGACGCACATCCCCCTCCCCGCCGGCTGCGCACGACGCGCCTCCCTCTCCCAACGCGCGAGAGCAACGCACGCCCCCTTACCTTCCCTTGCGCAACCTCTCCTCGCAGCGCCGTTGGGCGAGCCAGATCCGGCAGCTTCCACCTCCCACGCCCTGGCTGCGGTAGGCGGACCGACGGCGTCCGCGCTCCCCGAGAAGGCACCACGTCGGAGCAGCGAGGTCCAGGCGGCAACTTCCCGAGGGAGATGCCTCAAGCCCATGGCCGCCCGTGTCTGGTCCTCCTCGAGCAGAGCTGCAACCATGGCCGCCGGACGTGGAGCCTCGAGCAGAGACGCCCGATGATCCTTGCTCCATCTCTGCTCTCTCGGCTGCTCCCCTTCCTCGCTCTACTGCTCACGCAGAGCAACATCCATGTCTGCCGATCGAGCACGCCCTCTGCCACCGCCATTATTCCTCCTCCGCGCCACTCTCCCTCCACTGACCTCGCTGCTAGATCCTCCATACACGTGTCCCAGTCACCTCCGCATCCAGCTCGCTAGGCCACTGCAGCGCCGCTGCCGCCGGGTCACAGCTCTGTGGTTGCTCTGTGGCCGAGGCGGGCGAGCTCGAGCAGGCCGTGGCGGCGTTGGTGTCCGCGGACGGCGACCTCGATTTGGACGTGGTGCGGCGACGGCGAACTCGACCCCGGGAGAGAGCACGACCTCGCCGACCAATTGTTCGACGTAATGTCTGAAAGGGGTAATGTTACCGAAACAAGGAGGAGGTGACTGTATTTGAGCTAGTCAGGCAACCAAACATGATCCAGTCAGTCCAGGCTTAGGTGGTGTTTGGATCCGGTGACTAAAATTTAGGAGGTATGTCGGGAGGATATTGCATAGTGTGTTTCGATACTAATAAAAAAAACAAATTACATAATCCGTCAGTACTCCACGAGACGAATTTTTTAAGCCTAATTAATCTGTCATTAGCATATGTTTATTGTAGCACCACATTGTCAAATCATGGACTAATTAGGTTTAAAAGATTCGTCTCGTAAATTAGTCGCAAACTATGCAATTAATTTCGTAATTAGTCTATATTTAATACTCTATGCATATATCAAATATTTGATAGGATAACGACTAAAATTTAGGAGTGACATCCAAACACCACCTTAGCTAAGAAACATGAACTAAACAACAGCATCTTTTATTGGGGGAGCCAGGCTTGGGTTGTCCTAGCTTAGCTAGCTAGCCAGGCCAGGTCTCTAAAACGTGAACCAAACACACCCATACAGATCGATTAGGTTCAGTCCATAAGCTCGGTGTTGTTGGCCCTGAACTGCTTCCAGTCGTTGAGGACGCGGCGGAGACTGTCCTGCTTGGTCTGCAGCCCGCGGATGCAGTTGCCGTGGAACGTGCACGCCTTGTAGAAGTCGTTGGTGGGCTGGCAGAAGCCGGCGAGGTAGACGGTGTCGACGAACTGCACCACCACGCCGTGCCGCGCCGCCAGCTCGCGCTTCACCTTGTCGAAGAGCAGCTGCTCGTTCTCGCCCGGGTCCGCGGCCCGCGCCTGGTACCAGTCGCCGTAGAACGCGATCGTCCTCGGCCGCGACTTCACGTACAGGAACCCGCCGTTGGCGTTCTTGTTCAGGTCGTAGGGGTTGTCGCCGTAGAACACGTCGCTGGACATGGCGATGTCGGCGCCCACCGGGATGCGCAGCAGCGGGTTGCGGAACCAGATGATGTCCACGTCCGTGAAGACGAAGTTGAAGCCGAGCTCCAGGATGCGGGCCTGGAACCTGTTGCGGCGCCACATCATGTCCAGGTAGTCCTTGGCCATGTACGGCTGCTCCGACGAGAAGTCGGTGCCGTCGCTGATGGCGAGGGAGGAGTAGCAGAGCGGGTGCACCTGACGGCACCGCTCGTACGCCTTGGCGTCGACGGCAACGATGAGCAGGTGCTTGAGCAGGGCCTCCGTCTTCACGCCCGTGCGGAAGCTCTCCAGGAAGAGGTCCATGAGGGAACCGGGAGCCGCGAACGCCTCGTTCGTGAAGGTCACAATGATGGTCTTGTCCTCCATGGATGCTGTCTCCAGAAGCTCCAATAGCCGCTGGTCATCGGCCTACATTACATACACCCGGATTCATTCATGAATCATGATATACAATATAATAAGCCTAGAAAAAAGACCAAGGGTAAAATAATACACAAAAGGAATAAGATCGATCACGTACATACATACCCTGTCAAGCTTCGGTCCAGCATGAGTTGCACTGCGGCCATTGAACATTATGGACAGTTCTTGACCTGTCGGCACGCCACCACAATGGCATGGAGATGGCAGCATCAGGTGCAGGATACAAACAATGGCGATCACCTCTCCGACAAGGAAACCGAGGAAATGCTTCTTGTCCATCCTGAAAAAATATAGCACGGAACGGCGGCCTTGTGGAATGAACCTGCCGATCGTTTCCTGCAGGATTTCAGTTTCTTCGAGGATCCGTGCGTGCACACGAAACGCACGTATGTATGTGCCTGTTCTTCCAAAACAGACGAACTATAATCTATCTATCTTTAAAGTCTATCTACCTACTTATCTATCTATCCATACTCTAAAGGAGCGAAAGAAATTGAAAAATATCTGTCATTAAAAAAACTTCCAACCCACTTTATATCTCATCTCTTAGATTTTGTATCTAAGAGCATCTACAAAAGCATTTCTAAAATCTACTCTCTGAATCATCATTCGGAGAGTTATTTGAGTAAAAATCATTTCCTATGTTATAAACCTTTGTAATTTTAAAAACTGACATTATAGATTTATGACATAAAGTACACTGGTGTCACATAATCTAGATAATATGACAGAAATGAAATGCCATGTAGTGATCAAATGTGTCCTATTATTCAATCGGGGTTTAAAAGGATATTGAAGCTATATTGTATGTCATATCTTCTATTTCCTCTCAACATGGCCTTTAAGAAGGCATCAAGACATGCATGCATATGATCCTAATTATGATCCACATGTCATATACTTATTGTCCTCTAGGCTTGTTTATCGATTTTTTCTTCCAAGATTTTCCCATATAAGTTTACAATGAGGAAATACTCTTTATTTGTTATATAATTGTTGACACCAAAATTGGTTCGAGATGAAGAGGCCATGAAGTTAGAAACTTATCAAGAAAAGCCAAAATATTAAGCAAGATTGGTTAACTAAATTACCATCAACTGGTTAAGATGACGCCATCATTTCAAGGGAACGGGCCCCATTGGCAAGAATGACAAGGCACGAAGCAAGAGGACACATTGGACTTCATAGAAAGGAAAGATAGAGGTCCAAGTTATCGTAATTTAGGAAGCTTTATTTTCTTTTCCAAGTTTGAGATCGGTCTTGTTCGACCATGACTCATAGTCGAGCCTCGGGTATAAATATTAAACACCGGCTATTGTAACAGACATCTCAACAATCAATCAAAAACCAATACCTTTACTTTTTGGCTTACGCCACCCCATAGGAGTAGGAGTAGAGTAGATCTCAACGAGTTCTTCTACAAGCAGGGCTGCCATCGGTTAAGTCTGACCTCCGCTTTGTTTGTGAATATCCATCACGACTTATATTTTGTTTGTAAGGCTGCCCTCGGTTAAGTCTAATCTCTTATAAGTTAATTGTAAGGTTGCATTGGTCCGGCTCATATCTCTTACAATTATTTGATACAAGTTACCTTTGATTCTTATCGAAATTTGTACGGTTGCATCGGTCCGGCTCATATCTCGTACAAATTTTGATACGGATTAGTTATCGGCTAAATCTTAAGACTGGTAGGGTTTCCTCACTATTTTAAATAGATTTGCTAGTTATCAATCTTGTTATAACTAGTATTCTTACTATTTGTAACAAAATCACCCCTTGCGCGGTTAAGATTAAAACGGATCGGCTTTATATCTCTTTAATTCATCGTCTTGTTGCTTTTACCTATTTGCATCTCACTTTGACGATAGTTTTGGTCAACTTAGCCATTTTGATCCAATCTTGATCGAAGATAGCATGTGGTCAGGACGTGTTTAACCTTAAGTAAAGCTTACTAGTTAATGAAATCTGGTCTAGAACTGCTATTATGGCTGCCATTGATCCGGTCGACCCCCACTGTTAGCACTATAGATCGAAGATCATTAAATAGCAAGTCTTGCTCATGGTCAAACATAGCTTCTGGCTGCATGCTATGTCTGCATCGGCTATTTAGTCGATCGCCTGTGCTTCCACGATCGTAGCATGCTTTCACGATTCCATTAAGCGCGTACAAATTCGTACGCTTTGAGGGTTTAACATGTCATCTCTATCATGGTTGCATCGGTCTGGCTCGTATCCCCACTGTTAGAGATGGCAGATTGGATCTGATGAGTGTATGGACTTATCCACGTTTAATGGATGAATGTCCGTATGCTACGACTTTTCTTTCACCGGAATCGGCTGTTTTAGCCGATAGCCCGTACATTAAGAATATATTAGCTATTTACATGCTTTTACTTGTTTTGTCTTGGTTAAGAGCTAGTATGTTTCTCATTTAATGCCTTCACGCCTATCTTCTTACACCTTTTGCATGTTTTCATGATCATCGGCTGTTTAGATCTATGTAATTGAGTAACTGATAATTACCGATATGCTCGTTTTTACTTACTATGCATCATGAATATGTTGGATATTGACTCTCTAGTCAATAACCTTATATCTTCGGCTACTTAGCAGCACATTTGGAACTGTCTGGACAAATACTGGTATGTTCCACCTTAAATTACTGATCAATCTTGTCTCCTTGTCATTTGTAGGGTCAAATTGACTAGCACGCCCTAGGTCACGACCATCCGGTCCGGTGTCCTCCTAAGTCCGGAAGAGCTCGGGATCTGCTCCACGCGGTTTCTCCTGGCTTGCTGACGTGCCGGCGGCAGGGGATCGACCCATCACTTTCTTGCCGTCGACAATAATTTTCTCCTTGTTTTACCCATTGAGTTTTAAGGAGTTTTTACGATTATCCTCCATAAATTTTTCATAGGGTTTTGGTGATATCATTGAGTATATACATTGATATTTTTTTTGAGCAAGAGTAGGGGGAGATGAGTCCCCACCTGAATATATTAGCACTAATTCCAGATGAGGTCTGGTGGGTGGAGGGGCAATTGCCCTAAATAGTCGGCTTGGTGCCAGTTACAAAGTTGTGAGGGGGTAGAGAGATAGATTACGTCCAAACAATTGATCTCCAGAAGCTAGAGAGGAGATAAGATTTCCTAGGGATACGGCATAGCTAGAGGGCTGCATTTGTCTTACAAGTCATCATTAGTCGATCAACACTTGGGTGTAGGCCCCAAACACCACATCGTGTCGGTGCTTCTAAAGTTCCCAGTAGCAAAGTAGGATTAGGGATGATGTCGACTTAGGCTGAGTCCTATCTAGTGGGTTGGCATGCCACATGTTCTCCACTGAACCTATTTCTTCCATGTTCCATCCAAGCCTAGCCCAAAACTGGCTCTTCCATGTTCCATCCAAGCCTAGCCCAAAACTAGGGGGCAAAGTCACAGCTCAGGATGATATGGCTTACATCCTCGTCATTCTTCTTACACAAGTCACAGGTCGCATCAGTGAGCACACCCTTCTTCTCTAGGTCCACCTTGCATTATTGTATCCGGTTCTGTAGTAGGAGGCAGGCAAAAAACCATACCCTAGGAGGTGCGAAGTTGCGCTAGACAAAGGCAAAGGATGGAAGCTGCTGCTCCCCTCTGATCGACGCCTTGTATACATTGATATCAATGCTAGGTTCGACCAAGGGGCAGTGTTGCAAAACATTTCACCATGTGCTCTCATCCATAGACACAAGCTGAATGGACACGTCCCTATGATAGTAACACCGGTTTAGGAGGCTGGGGCTTCACTATCAGAGATGATCAAGGGATGATAGTAAAATCCAGTGCGGGAGAAGAAGGTTTTCTACAGAATGCTCTCCATGCCGAGCTCTTGGGATGCGCCCACTACGTGAAAAACGGTTTGTAGCAACGAGATAAATTTTTTGTAGGGGCGGCTGGTGATGGAGCCACCCCTACAGTGGCGTGCTCGGGAGCCTAGAGACCAGCTGCCCCTACAAATGGAACAACAGGGGCGGCTGGTGATACGAGCCGCCCCCTACAAATGGGTTTGATTTGTAGGAGCGGCTCACTCACCAGCCGCCCTCGGTGTTTTTATTTGTAGGGCCGGCTGGGGATTGAACCGCCCCTACAAATGCCCCGCGTATAATTACCTGCCATTTATAGGGGCGGCTCAATCACCAGCCGCCCCTACAAATGACCCACATATAAAAAACCTGCAGCACCTTCTTCCTTCTCAGGTCACTCACTCCAACCCGTAAAAAAAAGATGGGGAGGCTTTGGGCACCTTCCAAAAATTGCTCTACTAAGGGAGGACGGTTTTGGTCTCAAATCCTTTGGTGGAGAGGTTGTAGAAGGTAAGAAAATGTTATTCCACACTTTTTTTGAAGTTTTAATGGTTGGTTAGTGAGTAATTATAGTTTTGTTTTTCTCTCTCCTCTATAGTGCTTGAGCTACTTATGAAGCAAATTAGACCCAAGTTTTGAATGTACTAGGGTAAATTAGGTAGGAGAACAAGATCATACCCTTATTTGGTCCATGTTTCTTGATTTTAGTGAACAATTAGTTAGTTTTATGGATGTTTCATGTGCATGTAAATCTAGATCTAGGGTTTGGTTTTTTTATTAATTTCGTTTTTATAAATTTGTGTTTGATGAAATTAGACTAGGATTTGCATGAAAGATATTGGGTAAAATATAATTGTTGCTAATTGTTGTCTTTGAAATTGTTTATTGTAATCAACAAATATGTATTTTAATTATTTATGGATAAATGGGCTATTAATTAATTTTCCTCTACCATGGTGTGTTTGTATGCTTCATGTAATTATATTTGATTTATATTCATATATATCTGAAGTATATACAATTATTCTTAAGTAATTATTAATTTGATTTATTTTTATACATATATGAATTAGTCCTTTAATGTTTGTTTTGTTGTTGTTGTAAAAGATGGAGTACATGAACTCTTGGATGTATGGTTCGTTAAGGTTCAAGGCAGGTTTCCGTGAAGAGGTGGATAAATTTATTAAAGCCACAAAGAAGCATGCAACGATATTGACAGAGAATAAGGATACAATTATTTGTCCCTGTAAAGATTGCAAGAACCATATGGCATGGACAGATGTGACTATCATCAGATCATATTTGATTATGCGAGTATTTGTTGAGGACTACACAGTGTGGATTCATCATGGTGAAACGGTTATTGTTAATGACAAGGATGAGAAGGAATACGATGACGAAACCCTAGAATCCCTGTCCCAATATTCAGCAGAGCTTGATGCACGAATGGATTCCGAGTTTGGCAATGAACAAGGTGGTGATGTTGGTGGTTGGGATGGTAACGACGAAGGTGGCATCAATAATGATGGTGGAGCACGTGTTAGGGATGAAGATGATTTGGAGGACATGATTCGAGCCCTTAGACCAGAGATTTTACTAAATAGCCCAAAAGGTCTAGAAAATTTAGAAAATGTGACAAAAGCATCGAAGGAGACTGTGTATGGTGTTGAAAAGGGTTGTCCAACACATTGGACATTGCTACATTTTGTGCTTGAGCTACTCATCCTAAAGGCTAAGTACGTCTAGTCAAACTGTAGTTTCAATGATCTATTGCATCTCCTGTCATGGGTGCTGCCACAACCAAACTCAGTTCCCGCCAACGCATACTAAGCGAAGAAGGTCATAAGTCCATTGACAATGGGGGTTGAAAAAATCCATGCATGCCCCAACCACTGTATATTTTTTCATGGCGAAACGTTTAAGTCACTAGATAAATGTCCCCAGTGTGGGGCCAGCCGGTACAAGAACAATAACCTTTACGGTGGGGACAAAGCCTCCACGGGGAAAAAGATGAATAAGAAGGGTATAAAAAAGGTGGTACAAGAATCTCAGCCTATAGAGGACACTCCATTAGGCAACGATGCAAAGCAGAGAAGAATTCCTACCTTGGTAATGTGGTACCTGCTAGTGACCGACCACTTGAGACGTATCTTCCTAAACCCTAAAGAAGTCGTACTCATGACATGCTGGGATGATGAGCGCAAGGTGGATGATGATAAGATTGCACACCCGACTGATTGTAGTCAGTGGCAAATATTTGATGAGAAGCACAAAGAATTCAGCGATGACCTAAGGAATGTACGATTTGGCTTGAGCACCGATGGAATGAATCCGTTCAATGAGAGGATGAGCGACCACATCACTTGGCCAGTGATCTTGACCATGTACAACATCCCAACGTGGTTGTGTCAGAAGAGAAAGTATCTTCTCCTCACTATTCTTATTTCTGGCCCTAAACAACCAGGCATTGATATAGACGTGTTCCTTGAGCCTTTGATGCAAGAAATAGAGAGGCTATGGAGGCATAGGGAGCCGATGTACGATGCGTTCCGAAAGGAGGACTTCATATGTAGAGCAATAATATTTATTACTACCAATGATTACCCCGCGCTGTTTACTTTGTCTGGAAAAATCAAAGGGAAGATGGGATGCTTGGTTTGCTTGGATGGTACTACATGGGTGTACCTGGATGCATCCAAGAAGATAGTTTACCTAAGGAACCGATGCTTCTTAAAGATAAGTCACAAGTACCGCAACAAATTATTCTTTAGATTTTATGACAACACCCCGGAGATTGAACCCCCTCCGGAGAGACGTCATAATGGAGAACACGTGTACAGAATGGTGAAAAACATACGTGTCATCTATGGAAAGAAGAATCCGGATGGGACGAATAGAGATAGAAGCACACCTCCTGTCGAAGGCGTACCTTTCAAGAAACAATCGATCTTCTTTTAGTATCTGCCTTATTGGCCAGACTTGGAGGTCCCCCATGCCATTGATGCTATGCACATGCAGAAAAATGTCTTTGAGAGTCTCATTGCTACTTTGATGGACATAGGCAAGTCAAAGGATGGTCTGAAAGCACAGAAAGACATGGTGCAGCTAAATGTGATGCCATAGCTTCACCTGATACCTGAGGCTAATGGAAAATAACACCAGACGAGAAAAGAGCTATATGCACTTTCCTGAGGGGGTCAAAGTCCTGACTGGGTTTTCAGCAAATGTGAAGAAGCTAGTGTCGATGAAGGACTTGTCAATAACACACTGCAAGGCTCATGATTGTCATGTGATGCTGACAGTGTTTCTACCTATTGCAATCAAGGCTATAAAGCCAGAGTTCTTGAAAATGGCCATCACTCTCATGTGCTACTTCTTTTCGAAGATCTCACAGAAGACGATTGGCAAGCAAGAGCTAAGTGACTTACATGAATTTGTGGTGGAGACACAAAACCAACTAGAGATGTGTTTACCTCCTGCTTTTTTGATTTAATGCAACATCTCATGATTCACATGGTTCATCAAATACAGGCGCTGGGCCCTTACTACTTACATGAAATGTGGTCCTACGAGCGGTTCATGTCGGTTCTAAGTCGATACGTGCATAATCGAGTATACCCAGAGACCTCCATGATAGAGGGTTACAGTACTGAAGAAGTCATCGAGTGCTGTCAAGAGTATCTAAAAGTACAGAAAGAGATTGGTAAACCTGATTCTTGTCATAAGAATAGGTTGGCTGGAAAGGGCACAAGTGGTAGAAAAGTATTCATCAACCATGACTACAAAGAGATGAGTCGGGCGCATTATAGTGTCTTACAGAGTACACAACTGATGCAACCGTACATTGATAAACACTTGGCTATCATTATGGCGGAGAGAAATGGTTGTTCGGATGATTGGGTCATGAAACAATATAAGCAATGACTAACTACATGGTTGAAGGACCAAACATACCACCTGGAGAAACCATAGACTCTATTACCATCAGTAGGTTGGCGGAGGGGCCATCGAGACAAGTGACATTTTGGAATGCTTACGACATCAATGGGTATACGTACTATACCCATGCAAAGAATAGTAAATATGTGAACTAAAATAGTGGCGTTCGAATAGAGGCTCTCGATGGATTAGGGCAAAAGATTCAATACTTTGGCATCATTGAAGAGATATGGGAACTTAACTATGGAAGAGATATAACGGTGGTCCTGTTTCGATGCCGCTGGATCAAACAACACCAACTGAACGAGATTGGATTGAAAGTCCTGGACCTCGAGAATCTAGGCTACCAAGATGATCCTTGAGTGCTCTCTTCACGTGTCGCACAAGTTTTCTATATGTCTGACACACAAAGTAACCTCCCCCTGAAGAAGAAGACAAAGCACGTAGTTGCCTCCGGAAAACAGCACATTATCAGAGTTGATGGCGTGGACGATGTTGAAGCTTACAATAACTATGTTGAGATGCTGCTATTCATAGACTTTCCTAAGAAGATCAGTATTGTGGAAAAAAAACTTATCCAAAGACATATTGCCATGGGAACGAAAATATGTCAAGAGGAAAGTCGTTACAGCGGGCTAGCTAGTTGTAGAACGTGGAGTATTTGTGTAAGTGTGTGTTTGTAAGATTTTATTTATGCATGCGTGTGAGACTATATATTTATGTATGTGTGTAAGACTATATATTTATATATGTATGTGAGACTACATTTATGTATGTGTGTGAGACTACCCTTTGCAACATCTAGATGAATCTATTTCAACATCCACTCTATTACTACTAAAATTTTATGAAATCACTTAACACCTTATGAAAATGAAGAAATGACCAAAATAAAAGTAGGAGATACTGATGTGTTCAACAACTTTTATATTCATCACCTTTACAGCTGAAATCATTTAGAGAAAATTTCTTATTTGACACTCGGAAAATGAGTCGTTCCTTTCTTGGCCCTAAATTTTTTTTCGTTTTTTATTTGACACTCACTTCAACTTTCAACCCTAATATAACACTACCATCGGTTCCGTGAGCTTCTTCCATTAGAGACCCTGGGACACGCTGTCAGATATTTTGATTGGGGTCAAAATTACCCTCCGTCGAATCTCTCCCGTGCGTGTGCGTCTTCCATCCTCTCTCCCGTGCGTGAGTGTCCTAGGCTCGAACCCTAGACCAATCCGACGGCGGGCTGATTCTTGGCGGTGGCCGGCCATCGGCGGCAAGATGGAAGGAGATCCGGCGGAGGAGGATGTGGATCCGGCCACTGGCTCCCTCGGGCGGGGCGTGGCAGCGGCGGCGAGCCCCCACCCCCCGGCGGTGAGCCCCCTCGGGCTGGTTGCAGAGGCGGCGGCGAGCCCCCCTGGGCTGGGCGCGAAGGCTGCGGGCGCGAGCCCCGTCGGCCGGCGCGCGCTCCCCACAACCAGCTCGACCGTCGTCGCCCCGCGAGATGAGCAACGACGACCCTAGCAGCTCCTCCGCCGGCGCCATCGCGGGCGTGGACGCGCTGTCGCTGGACCTGCTCGCGCACGCGCTGGCGGGCGTGCGCGACTCGCGTGACCACAAGTCCTACCGCCTCGCCAGCCGTGCCTTCGCGCGAGCCGAGGCCTATCCCACTGCGTCGCCGCTGAGGACAGGGAGATGGCCGCCGTCGCTGCTGTCGCGGGGCTCAGGGAGCTCGTCATGGACAAGTGCCTCGGCGTGATGGATCGACTAGCAGGAAGTACCAAGAACACACATGTGCTAACACGCCGGCGAGAGGAATGCGAACTTTCTGTTATTTCCTGCTCTGGCGTCACCGTTGGCGAAGGATTGTGCTTCTCTCGTCGTCTCCGTCGATTACTAAAGCTGAAGGTGTGTGCTGTCATCTGTCTCCTAGGTGATTTTGGATTTCAATCATTTTGGTTCGCCAACATTTTGTGTTTGCGCGGACGCACGGGTCAAATGGTGTACCAACGGAAGGTGGATGAGTTTGATTTGGTGGCCAGCTAGTTTTTGGGCATAAGGATTGGAGGAGTGTGTCTGCGCTGCTGGACGCTACCTGAATGTAGTTGTAGCGCATGCTGTAGGAGAGTTTCATGGAGCAATACTCTGACTCTTGCCACTTGATTTTTTGTTTTTATCGCTTGCAATAGCTTCAGATCCGAAGGCCTTGTTCAAACTAGTGGTAGGTTATATCAGGTAGTAGCTTCAGGAATCCATGCTGGAGACTAATAACGTGTGTTGAGCAGGCCAGTGAACTCCTTTTTTCTGTATTGCCTGTGTTTTAGATTCCAATATATGTTAGTTTAGAGTTTGAGGTTCAATGTTTCAGTTGTCCCTTCAATGTTCAGTGGTTCAGATTTCAGTATTTTTTTTTAATTTTTAGTCCAGAATATTTAATTTATTGTTTGCATGTTTTTTTGGTTCAGATTTCAATTTCATTTTCAGTCTATAGATTTCAGTATTCAATTTTAAGTACTGATCGGGGACCGATTTCTTGGTTTGGTGCGTGCAGTTACATCAACAACAAGTTCAGCATCCAGTAGAAGGCCACCATCGGCGCGGATTTCGTCACCAAGGAGGTCCAGATCAACGACCGCCTCTTCACATTGCAGGCCTGCATGATTTGTAAGCAAGCAACGGAGGTAGTGAATAGAAGGAGCAGCATCACGTTTTATATTTTGTCTTGTGTCCATGTTGCAGCAGCAGCACTGCAATGCACATCTAAAATCTCATAAGTTAAAATACTGGGTTTATGCAGTATAAATGCAAATACATCCCTGCCAAATGTTAGTCTAAATGACAATTGGGTTTATACTGCCAGACTGATGCATTCAGGCATGTGCATTTGGGTTTATGCAGTCTGATACCACCTCTGACAGTGATGCATTCAGAGATATTGAGAACCACGAACTGTTAGATGCATACCTGCCAATTGGAAATCATATAGGTAGTTTATATGAATTATCTAGTTCTTATACTTAACAAATATATATTATTATACCATAACTATATTAGCAAGCATCACCAACTTTGTGTTTTTCTTACTTTGGATAAGCATGAGCTTGATTTACAATAGGGTCAGTTGGATTTGTTTGTTTTGTCTGTGGACTGTGGTTCAGTTTTAGTATTTCTTTTTTTCTTCAGTTTTTTTTATTGTCAGTAGTAATTTTGTTTTTTCAGTATAAATGTTCCTATTAGAGATCCGGTTGTTGGTAGTTTCAGTTTTAGTATTTCTTTTTTTCCTCAGTTTCAATCACTGAGCACTAGTTTTTTTTTGTAATGTAGTAATGTGATTCACGTAGGCCCATTTCGTGCCTCCGTCAGCTTGCAGTGAGCTTGAGCTACTGCTAGCATCTGTTCTGTAAGGTGTGGTGGGGTGGCGGCCGCTTTTTGAATCTGCTCCTTGCCGCTGATGGATTCAATTGAAAATGATTGTGACTTGACCTGTCGAAAATTCAGAAGTGTTCAATCATCTGTGAACTGACTAGAATGGGGGACAAATGTGACAATGCTAGTAGGATGTTGTTTCCTTAAAAACATTAAGATTCTTCTTAGAGTTTAATAGTTTATGAGATTGTTTCCTTGCCAACATAGATGCTATTTCGCGTGCACGAATCAAGTGAGCTCCAATTTCTTGTCTCTTGTTTTGCAGGTGAGCAATGAATCCCTTAGATCACTCTCCACTTTCGAGAAGTTGGAGGACATAACAATGGTCTGCTGCTTGTTTACAGATGATGATGGCCTACAGATGCTAAGCGCAGGCAACTCGCTGAAGGTAATCACCTTGCAGGCATGTAATTAGAGTTCCTTTGCTCTTTTTGCGCTTTTGAGTACTCATGATGCAAATGAATGCCATTTAGCTGTCAAATTCACACTGCCAGTGGTTGTTCACCTTCTGCTTTACACTTGCAGGAGCACTACTAGGAACAGCACCAGCAAAGCAACAGCAACAGGAACGAATGCAGTAACCCCACAAACGACAGCAACAGCCGCAAGAGAGAGGCAGAAGACAACGAAGAAATTTTGCCCTAGAGAAACAGATCAAGGCATAGTTAGCTGCGAACTGATTATAGGAGAATTAACCCCCTTTTTTCTCCCTTTATTTATTCTTTGTTTTACTTAGCTTTTGGCAAACTAATTTGTAACACAAGAGAATTAACCCCCTTGTTCATATGAACTTGCTATATCATGTGCCATTATCATGCTGTGTAAATGTTGAAAAAAATGTTGTATAAACGTCTTACAAATCATGCTGCTGTATCATGTTGAAAAAAGAGAAAACGGCATCCCAGCGTCTGCACACCGGCCACCAGCAAAAAGAGAAAAAAAAACAGCGGCCAGCCTGCATGGTGTCTAGCAAAATTGAGAAAAAAAGAAGAGAGCAGTCAGCGATTGCATGCGTTTAGGGACAAAAATATCTTTTTAACAGTCACTTAACATCGTTAGCTAGTGAATTTGACTGTGGTGTCATACTAGGGATGAAAGTTGAAGTAAATGTCAAATAGGAAATGAAAAAAATTTCAGGGTCAAGAAAAGAATGATTTATTTTCCCACTATCAAATAAGAAATTTTCTCAATCATTTAGTGGTTGAAAATTAGGTTTGAAGCTGTCATTTTCTGAAATTTAAAATTTGAACTGTTCAAATTTTGTCAAATAAAAAGATGACCAAAATAAAAGTTGTAGATAATGATGTGTTCAACAACTTTTATATTCATCACCTTTACAGCTGAAATCATTTAGTGGTTGAAAATCAGGTTTGAAGTTATTATTTTCTAAAATTCAAAATTAGAATTGTTCAAAATTAGTGATAAAGATAGATGACTAGACTAAAATGATAGAGCATGATTTTAGAAAATTTTAGGAAAAAAAACCATCATATTTGGAGTTAGTATGAGGAAGAAAAACTAGTTAAAAGTTTCAGCCACAGATTAAAAAGAGAAATCACACTTGTTCATCATTGATTATCATGAACAGTTGAGATTTTTCTTTTTAATCTCTGCGTAAAATTTGTAACTAGTCTTTCTCCCTCATACTAACTTCAAATGTGATGATTTTTTCCCTAAAACTTTCTAAAATCATGCGATATCAAGTTACTGTGATTGATTTAGTCATTCTTTTCATTTGACAAAGTTTGAGCAATTTAAAATTTCAAATTTAAAAAAATGACAAGTTATAACGAGATTTTCAACCATTAAATGATTTCAGCTGAAAAAGTGATGAATACCGAAGTTGTATAACTCATTAAGATCTACAACTTTTATTTTGATCATTTCTTCATCTAACAAAGTGATAGTAAACATTGTTTACAAATTAACATATCTCTCGTATAGTTCATGAAATTATGAGTCATATGTAAATTTATGAACAATGTTTACTAATAGTTTGTCACATGAATAAGTGATCAAAATAAAAGTTGTATATAGTGATGAGTTCAACAACTTTTAGGTTCATGACTTTTATAGTTGAAAGCATTTAAGGTTTTAAAATCTTGTTTGAAGTTGTCATTTATTGAAATTTAAAATTTTAGCTGTTCAAATTTGATCAAATGAAAAGATGACCAAAATAAAAGTTGTAGATAGTGATGTGTTCAACAACTTCTATGTTTATGGCTTTCTTATTTGAAACCATTTAAGGTTTCAAAATCTTATTTGAAGTTGATATTTATTAAAATTCAAAATTGGAACTGTTCAAATTTGGTCAAATGAAAAGATGACCAAAATATAAGTTGTACATCTTGATAAATTCTACAACTTTGATGGTTATAAATTTTTTATTTGATGTCATTTAGTGTCCTAAAATTCTCTTTGTTGTTTTGAAATTCAAATTTTAAATTTTTAAAATGTTATTTTTGTAAAGAAGAAAATATAAAATTAAATCTGTATATATATATATATCATGAAATTCTTTATATTTATATTTATTTATACATATATATAGAATAATCAAAAAAGTATTATATAAATTTATATTGTATTCTTTATATATAAATTGCAAAATTATTAATTAAAATAAATTGAAAAATATTTGTAGGGGCGGTTTCCTCAGGAACCGTCCCTACAAATCGATTTAGTAGGGCGGCTTACTTAGGAATAGGCCCTATAAATTAATTTGTAGGGTCAGCTGCCTCAGGAACCGCCCCTAGAAATGACTTGCGATATAAAACCAAGAGCTCGCAGGAGGCCGAAATTACTATAAGTCCTGGGCGCTTTTTTCTTCTCTCGGACGTCAGCAGGCTATCGATTTTTTTCTCCGCCGCCCCCATTGCCGCCGCCGTCTCGTGGCCTACAACCGCTTTCTCTGACCTCCTCCATCCTCACCTAACTGCACCTCCGTCCACCGTTCCCCAACCGCCACCTTTCCCCAAGCCGCTGGGGCTAGGGTTTGAGCTCTGCCGGCTCGGCCGCGTGCTCTAGCTGGTGTCCTCGCCATTGGCGCTCCCTCTCCGACCTCGACCACCGAACTCGCCGCCCCACGCGCGCTCTCCAACATCCCTCCACCTCGCTGTCGCTTGGTCTCTCTCGTGCATGCAACGTCGACACGGGGGGCGCTCTCGGGCGCTCCTCCACCACCGCCACCTCACTCCTCATCCGCCATCTCCATCTCCACCGCCATTGCCATCCGTCTCGAAGGTCAGTGCACCTCATCTCCTTCATTGCAGTAGTTTCTGGATCCGCTATGGTTTGACCCACACCTCAACTCCCTTCTTCTCTTGTCACACTATTTAGGAGATCCCGATGCTTGCCATGAAAATTGCATTATCCTTTATACCTAGTTAGGAGACCATACTACTGGATTTTTCTACAATTTGATGAAGCTACATCACTTGCAGTTTTCATATATGTTCATTATTCCACTTAAATAACTAAATAAATTAATAAAGACATTAAAAGAAATGAATTGGTGGTGAACACCTTACTTTATGGTGATCTTATATCATGTGTGAACTTGTGATGCACTTGGTTTTGTCAGAAATCATGTTTGGCACATAAGTAAATATTTAATTTTAGCATTTATATAATTCTGGATAGTTTCTAGCACTTGGTGAATTAGGATTTGATAATAGTGCTTTTTGGGAATCATATGAATACCAAAGTTGTAGTTAACTTACTAAACTAGCTTGTGTTAAAATTTGGTGGCATTTGGCCAAGTGTTTTAGGAGATATGGCTGTTCTCAATTTGAGTCCAGTTTTTGCTGCTCTCTGTCTTGTGAAGATAGATTTCTGTTGTTAAGTGATTTCGACCTGGTAAAAGTTGGAATCATACCTTGAGGTCTGAAAATGAATTTTAGGAAATTTCATAAGCTTTCTAAATTGTCTTGTTGCATGTCATTTGGATTTGTAAATCTCCAGTTATGGTTAGTTTACTATGCTGTTGTTGCTCTCTTACTACTGCTACTGCTCTCTTACTACTGCTACTACTATGTACTATACTCCATTCCTCTCTTTTGCTTGCTTTGCTGTGCAGCTACTACTACCTAACTACTACTACTCTGCTTTCTTATATTTACTATTCTGCTATGTCTTTATCTCACTCTTTTCTGGCTCACTGAACTGCTCTTTTCTGGCTGCTCTTCTATGCTTTGGGCAGCCCTTCGGGGTTGATTTGAAACAGTCGAAGGACTTAGCATAGGGCAAGGCAGGTGCTTGCTATGCTTGCTCTCTCCCTCTCTGCTGCTGTCTGGTGCTTGCTATGCCTGCTCTCTCCATCTTTGGTGCTGTTTGGTGCTTGTTGTGCTTCCTCTCTCCCTCTCTAGAGCTGCTGGTGCAAATACCAGAGACGGCGTGTTTGTTTTGCTTCGAAGCGGGTTTTGGTGGGATGACAGAGATGGCGTGCAAATACAGACGCATGCTAGTTGCTAACTTGCTACCCTCCTCGGCTCCTCCCCTGTGCTACCCTCCTCTCCTCTATTTTGCCACCTTTCCTATCCTCTATGTTTGGGAAGCAGCAGCTATTTTTTACACATTTTTCTCTCTATGTTTGTTAAGCAGTTGTTGTTTTTTTTGCCAAATCTCCCCCCTCCTCTCCTCTCCTTTGTTTTGCCGATGATGAAATTGTCTAAGTCCATATATTATATGGAATATGAGCTGATGATCAAGAACTTGTGAGAAATTTGACATCATTAGCAGCCGTCCCTACATTACCTTCTCCTCTCTTCTCTGTTGTGATGCCTTGATGCTCCAAGTTCATGATCAAATGATGATTGGCATGTTTCTGAGGCCTCTACTACTGCTACTACTTATTTTTTTGATATATTGTTGTTTTATAGGACTACTTTGGTTTATAGACCTTTTTGATTTCTTATACCTTCTCATGTACTTAAAGCACACTTTCTTGCATCTATTAGAACAAAGCGCGAAATAATGTGGCGAACACCAGACAGTGCAGCCCGATGCCCCGAGCATGATGAGCAGCCAACATATGAGGAGCAAGCACTAGAGGACCAGCTTACTCAGGAGTAGTTCAATAATGAGTTAGAAAAAAATCTAGAAGTGATGCTTACTCAGGAGTAGTGTGACAAGGAGGAAGGGAGAGCAGAAGGAAGAGCAGGAGAGGCTACTGAAGGCAAAGAAGAAGAGGATGATGATGATGATGACTCAGAAGAGGGATATGTAAGTTTCGAGGATCCTTTCCCACGTGAAGCCAGAAGGAGGCCAACAGAGGAAGATTTAGACAAGGATTTTGACCCAAACGAGAAGGTAGGGATAAAGCCTTAGCTTGTAAATTTTGCTAAAGCTTTGGCTGTGTTACCTCTGCTAACACTTTGACCTGTCGTATGTACAGGTCCCTCCTGAAACTCGAAAAAGACGACGTCGACGTCCGCGACATCTCGCTGGACAAGATGGAGTAGAGAAAAGGAGAGTAGAGGCAACAGCCACAGAGATGAACATTGAGGCTCTGCTCCACAACCTCAAGACACAACCAC